GGGTTGAGCCTATTGAAATAAAAAAATAGCAATCTATATGCAAACAGAGGTACAATTAATAATTAAAATATACAATTTACTTCATTACGAGAATCTTAACTTTTCAGCTAGGTACAGGGACTCACTTCACAACCATGATTACATGTATACTTTCTAAACACAAAATATTAGTCAAAAATCAACAAGCATAAATTATAAATCAAAGCAGGCGTAATAGATAATTTTAAAAAGCAAAATAATGCTTATTATTTCTGTAACACTTTTGTTCCCGCCAATACATCTGTCATCGCGACAGATAAGTGCGCGCGAACGATCGCCGAGCGCACAGATACATTAGCGAAACGTAATATAACATAGATGCGTTCATATTAACTGAGCTATTGTCGAAGTGACGGCGTGAATGGATTACTTGACAGCTCTGTGTTGCCAACGTAAATTTTTGTTAGTAAAGAATAGAGGTATTAATTAGTATCAATGCAGCGCTAAAATAAACATTACTAGATCCTCATTAGTACATTCAGCGTAAAATAAAAAAATAAAAGACCAATAACGCATGTCTATGAATGTGAATATAATTTATCATTTTAGTAAAGCTCTTAAGTGTATTTTTTAAAGGTTAAGAATCTTTGCCTATACAATTGGCGCGGTGTCTGGGCAACTGGTTGCCGCGTAAAGTGTAACGGGTTCGATTTCTACATGGAGCAACAGTTAGTGTAATTTAAAATTGTTATTTCGGGTCTGAGTGTCATGTGTATGTGAAATTGTAGGCTTGTCATCGCACCCACGACCCAGGAGAAAATCCTAATATAGCGCAAAGTATAATAAAGTATTCGCTTACTAAATTTAAAAAAATATTTTATTCTCGATAGCTTCAACTTTTTTGTATTTACTTATATAAATCACAAACCTATCAAAAATGCCTCCTAATATTGGTTTATGGTCAATTAATAACAACACGTTTCACATTTAATAAAATATATTCAAAATCAGACACTGGCAACACAATATGATTCGAAAATATGGCGCGAATAGATCGCCCGATGACAGCTTTATAGTCCACCATTTTGGAGTCCATTTAGTAAATGCAGATAAATATTTATCGGCCAATAACACGCGTTATACTGATGAGTTGCGTTTATTTTCGTTGCTGAGAGCTCTCTGAGAATCGGATGTTTGTTCATAAATACATTTTTGAAAGATGTTAATCTTAACGGTTGAACAATGATCATTACTGAGACCGGATGATTCGTTCTCATTCTTCGGATTTTAAATTGTTGACAGTTGAATTCCAAAATTTCCTTCTTCAAATCGATTTTTCATGTTTTCTCAGCAGTCAGTAGGAGCTTTTTGAACGTGAACTAAAAAATAACATAATATCACACTTTTTATCCCCGAAGTAGTAAGCAGGGGTGGACAATACGGCACTTAATGCTACTGTACAATCAAATGGAATACAATCAAAAGACACCCACTATTCACTACTTATGTTTTGAGTCCCATGTAATAGGGAGTTAACCTATTGCCATATGCCGGACGCAATTCCACACCCCGTCCTACCACTGTATTTACCAATCATACTTTTCTCGACCCGGGAATTGAACCCGAGACCCGTCACCCAACAGTCGCACTTGCGACAAACAATGTTGACGCCGACGACGCAGTGTACAATGGAGCACTATAGGTTTGGTAGGTACCTACCTAGGTAATAGTATCTACTGACTTACTTACCTACATAAGTTTCGTTTATTTTTTAATAGTTATCATCATTTTTTTTTTGTTATTATATGTATAATATTATAAGTCACGGGCAAGTGCTGAAAATCAGCGCCGCGACTCGAGCACACTCGTGTCACGGCATTTAAGCTGAGCTCTGGCCTTTTTGCGCCGTCTTTGCTATATTGTTTTATATTTTTGTGCTATTGTTAGTACCTTGTGACGGTGTGCAAATAAACTATGTATTTTTCTTTCTTTCTTCTTCTTCTTTCTATATTATGACTGCACGGTTGGTGCGGTGGCTGGGCAACCGGCTGCCGTGCAACGTGTCGCGGGTTCGATTCCCGCTCGGAACAACTCTTTGTGTGATCCACAAATTGTGTGATCCACAAATTGTTGTTTCGGGTCTGGGTGTCATTGTGTATGTGAACTTGTATGTTTGTAAACGCACCCACGACACAGGAGAAAATCCTAATGTGGGGTAACGTTTTATATTAAAAAAAAAAATTGATAATAACTACATATTCCAACAAATCGGATCCTACCATTTTTTTTAAATGTTCCGAAATAAACTATAAGCTAAACTCGTAGGTACTCACTTATAGGTCACTTGTTATAGTGAATATTTACCATCAAATTATTATAATTTTGCTGCAGGCCCACACAAAAATTAAAAAACTATTTCTACGTGCAGGTCGCTGCCGATTGGCCTATCGTTGGGGGAGGCCTATGATCAGCACTGAACGTTTTCTTTTTATAATATCTATTTGATGGGCCGACGTCATATGATAAACTAACACTTAATTCGTTTATCTCTTACTTTTTACTTCTTCGAGGAGTAAAAAACCTAAACGAAACGAAAATGTTTGTAAAAGAAATACATTACTATTTTAGAATTAGTACTGCCATCTATTGGTAATGAGTACCTACTGCCATCAGAATCTGTTCTAGCTATCACTGAAGCGCCATCTAGTATGTTAATGTCGTAAAAATATTTAACAAAACTGTAAATACTGACAGATGGTGCTAGCGTAGTTTATGTAGCCGTGCTGATAAATTCTTTATTCCGCACGCCACAGATATTTTTAAATCTGGTAGCACTGGTTCATTACGTTTCACGTAATTTTATATTATGATTTCATAATAGATTTTTTCCAATCAACAAAATCGTATTAAATTGTAATCAAAGTATTTTGGTAAATTAAAATGAGCGTATGTATTTAATAAATATTTATTTGATTTTATTTAGGGAGTCAAAAGTATAAAATAATTTGGAAAAGATTTTATACAACGTAGAACGGATTGCAATTTGCCGGTGCTGCCAACCTTGAGAAGTAGGAAATCAGAAATAACTTGTCTCAAATCCACCATTTTCCCTTTGTAACTAACCGGTGTTCAAAACACGTGCGTACGATCAAGTTACATGGAAAACTTGTGTGATCTCCGTGCATATTGAATAAATACTTACGCTAAAAAGTGCGCCGTGTTTCGATAAAAGCGCGTCGTGTATTAAAACTACATAATGAACACCGAAAAGCTAAAGAAGTTGCAGTCGCAGGTGCGCATCGGCGGTAAGGGCACTCCGAGACGCAAGAAAAAGGTTGTTCATGTTACCGCGGCGACAGATGACAAGAAATTGCAGTCATCGCTCAAAAAATTGTCAGTAAACACTATCCCTGGCATCGAGGAGGTGAATATGATAAAAGATGACGGAACAGTGATACACTTCAACAACCCGAAAGCGCAGGCATCCCTCGCGGCCAACACTTTCGCTATTACTGGTCATGGAGAGAACAAGCAGATCGCCGAGATGCTCCCCGGCATCCTCAGTCAGCTCGGCCCCGAAGGCCTGAACCAGCTGAAGAGGTTGGCGTCGAGCGTCGCCGCGCCTAAACCACTCGACGAGGACGATGAGGTCCCTAACCTAGTCGGCAACTTCGACGACGCATCGAAGCAGGAGGCCAAGGAAGTCATCACGAATGAGAAAGAGAAGGAAAAAGAAAAGGAAAAGAAACCCGAATCAGAAACCAAAGCTGCAGATAAAAAAACCGATTAAACTCAATCGGCCACAATGGTGTAGTTTTTAATTTTGCTCACCCAGAGAAAAGGGTTTCCAAAGCCACAGAGGCGTCTCAAATAGTTCTCATTTTATTTTACATTGTGTTCCTAAATAAATGTACTTTGAATTTATCTTTTTCTACATTTATTTGTATGTGTAAATTGTGAATGTGTTTTGTTGGTACAGGGACACTTTTTTTTTAATTTTTTACTTCAAAATGTGACTTTGGAAACCTCAACCATCCTGAATTAAAACTGCTTAACTCTTATGCCATGCACTAATTCATTATTTTTAGTTTATATGTAACATACAGCATAATGGGATATGATACATGTCGATTCTCTTTTATAATAGGACCTAGTTAAGTGTTGTAATGACCCTATTGTTGAGACTTTGGCGATATAGGTAACTTCATTATATTGAGAAAATATAAATATACATTATTTTTGACAGTGCACCATGAAATCATAGAGTATATGATTATATGTATAGTGAAAAGGTGTTGTACGCCTTAGAATATTTTTAAAATATTTTCTAAAGTTGTTGATTCATGTCCGGAGTTAAGATTTGCTTTCTTGAAAAATAGTTATAAACAAAATATTAGTCACAGGTAGCTCTATAGGTTATTGAGCTAACATTGTATAAATAAAATTAATAAAAATTGCAAAAATTGTAAATGATTAGAGTTTTGGTATGTGGAAATAACATTAAAACTTTGATCGAAGTAAATGGACTTTTATTTTGGACTCTACAGATTATAAATTACTGAAACATGAACATAATAGAAAACACCACTCAAATATTCTCTAAAACGTTTATAAAAACTTTTTTGTTTTTTAAAAACCAAGTTTGAATTCACACACATGAACTTAGGGAGGTTAGGTGAGCAATGTGAGACCCATACCTGCTCATCTATGTACACATGTGACTCGAATTTCAATTGTTAATCACCTTGAATACAAATAATTACTTTGGTAAATAACAATACATTGGTCTCAAAAAATTAAAATCATGTGGCTGATTATGCACTAAATGATTCAAGCCATTGTAGTCTTTATGCCAATGACTTAAATGGTATTTTTCAGTGATCAATAGTGACAATAGATCCATTAGTGAATTGAGTGGAACTTAATTTTTAAGTGATTGATGAAGGCATTTAATTACAGGTCTTGATTACTATACCTATTAAAAATAATAGTCATGCAGGTAGGTATAGATACTGAGTTCAGTAAGTAGATGAAAATTAAATTTCAAGGATCAGCTCAATCAACCTAGTCAATATTACAATGTCAAGTCGTGACTAAGCCTAAAGTCATGCTTATTTCCTTGTTTCGGTTCAAATTCTTTGTACCTATGGATTGCAAATGAATATAAACAATGATTAATATCGCCGAAACAATATTCATGAATTTATCACGTGGGAAAGGATACTGTGGTTACCGGTTAGCAAGCAACAAAATGGTACAAGCCAGTACAAGGTACAAGTTAGTCACTACCTATGATTAGATTGTGATTAAGACTGAGTTAATTTTATAGTATTTTTATCAACATTGTTTGTTGATAAAGAAAGTGCTTGTTAACAAAATTAATCTCCTAAACGAGGCATACTTAGGTGTAACGAAACGTAGTATCATCACAGATTTTTATCATTTTTAGGATCTTAATTGCCATCACAAACAGTACAAAAGGGAAGTACAGATTGTCAAAATTAAGTCATTTCTTAGTTTACAAAATAGTCTAGATAAGATTTAAACTGAAAACCGAAATAAAATAGCTCTATTTCCTCTTTGGGAATTGTTTGCAAAGTAATGGTACTAAACGTATTCTTTATCTGTCAAAGCTGTCAGATTCTATTTTCATCACAAAAATGTGAAAAATGTCAAAATTGCTTTTGTGACTGTGAATCGAAAGTGTTTTACTTTTTGTTATTTAATTTCTTGACATTAGGTTTTTCTTCATTTTTTACACAATGATTGCGAGGCCGTGGACAGACGACTTGCCGAAATGTAAAAATTCTTGTGTCGCATCATATTTTTCGAGATTGGGAGGAGGAAATACAAATACTAATGATGATTACCTGTGTTTTTACTGCCAGACTGAAGATAATTTGTAAGTTAACTTTAGAATCTATATTTAAATACTGTAGCTGGATAACCTTACTTTTCATGACCTAGTAAACTGAATACTAATCATAGTTTTGTTTTATAGAACTTAGTATCATGTTATCTAAGAAACAAAGATAAAAGTGACATAACATCACAATTTATATGAAAGTATAAGTGAATAATCTTTAAACAGACAGTGGAACATAGTTTTGCTTCCATAAATATAATATCTTCACTGTAATACCACCTTTAGTTCCCTCTACGGAGTCTTTGAGCCCCACAATGGGCTGGACGCAGCGAGGTTCATCATGCAGAGGATGGCTGCTGAGATACTGTTCCCGCCACCATCAGCTAACACTGACGAGGAGATTAGAGAAAGACTAAGGTATGAATTTGGTATGGTTAAGTACCTAACTGTAAGCATACTGCATGTCTATTGCTGTTGAGCGGCCTCCACTCAGTAGTGAGATTTGCCCACCTCTCATTTAATATTTCATAACTCATGTCCCATCTTTCACACAAGGTACAATGAATTCATCTTAAATCTATCATAGTTAAGATTACCGTAAATAATGAAATTTTTATGCAAATATTTAAATGTACTTTGAATAGTCATGTTACATACTATTTAATGATTTCAGGAATGCATTCATATCAGTAGAGAAAGCATACATAGAGAACTATGATGGTATGATAGCGGAGAGGACAAGCCTACAGTATCAGCTGCAGACACTTAACGAAACACAGGTTAGTATGTGATTTATTTTTGTGATGTTATTCATATTATGAGGAAACATAATATGGTGGTTGATAGGTACTGAAATTCAAAACTTTTATTGGAACGTCAAAAACGATACTTTTATTTGAATTTTAGTCATCATATTTCTGCGTCAAATAGCATACTTATTTCCTTAAAATTAGCCAGAAATAAAATTCAAAAGTAGGTAAATTGTCGAATCAATGGATGAGAGTATGATTATTTTTTTATTATTTATTGCATTGAAAAGTTGAAACAATTTATTTTAAACCTTCCTAGGTTTGATGATGATGAATGATGAAACGTAATAATGACGTCTTTAGGAACACTCATTATTTTTGTATGCATGTTCATCTACACTTAGGTGTCAGTCTTCCTATATTATGTTCAAAAATATTAATAATTTAATCCCTTTCGGAAGCCTAATCCAACCATATCAGGCAAAGTTCATATATAATGATTAACTTCTCAAATAAATTAGTACTATAATGTTTCACACCCAATAGTTAGACCCACAATCTCTATCCCAGCATTTTCAACCACACTTGTACTTCAAGAACGGATAAACCAACAAAAGATTTAAAAAATTCTCAGGTATCCCAAAACTACAACATCTTGGCCCGTCTAAAGGAGATAGACGTACACCTGTCAGGCGGTGCAGCGGTAGTGATAGCACTGGTACACGCCAACAAACTGTTCGTGGCACACGTGGGGGACACCAGGGCGTTACTCTGCAGGACTGATGACAACGCAGTGCTGAGGGTCGTGCAACTCACCGTGGATCATAGTCTGAATAACGAAGATGAGTTGTTGCGGTTACAGCAGTTGGGACTTGATGTTAATAAGTTGAGGAATTGTGAGTATTTAATTGATTGTAATCCGTAGTTTTATATCATTCTCAAATAGTTCTCAAAATAGACACTTATCAGTTACGTAGACCGCATCATCGCTATAGTGGTCAAACGTTGGCACATCAAATACCTCTATAAAAAAAATAAGCTATATTTCTTATTATATTCATATCATCATCTTTAACAGCTTATAACACCCTACTGCTGCACAAAGGCGTCTTTTCACTCCTCTAATACTTACTTTAAACCTTCCGTAGCACAATACCTGGGCAACCAGACCGGTACGCGATGCCTGGGTAACTACCTAGTCAAAGGACTATACAAAGCTTTCCCTACAATCAGTGCTGCCGTCACAGAGCCGGTCATAGCAGCTCCTGAGATACATGGACCTATTATACTGGACGAGTCTTGCAGGTAAAATTATTTACATACGTAAGTTAGTCTCTTTAGGCTTAATTAATTCTGTCTCCTGCAGTAATTCACCGAGGGAAGTGGAAACTATCTTTTTTTCTTGTCCTCTTATAATATCTTCTGATTCACTTCGTTGCGGGAACCAAGACAGTTATTCATGTCCCTGGGACGCGCCGGACTTCAGTGTTCCGGTGTTTTCATGGTTGTATCTACTGTAGATCTTGGCTTACAGGAGTTGCAGCCGTTTTAGGAGGTTGTAGCGGGCTTGTCCCTTTAAAAAAATATTTAAATCAACTTATGATTATAATTATTAAGTACCTTAGTAGGTACTAGCATTAGCAAATGTAATTCTTATACTTTACTTTTTTTTCTAATTCGTTTTCCACATAGAGAATGGCTGTGTAAAATTTAAATGAAATCGATAATATAAAATACGACATTGGCCAAAAATTTACAATAAGTATTTTCCTAAATTAATGGCTAAATTATAAGTTTTAATGTATTGTGATCTGGAATATATGATTGCATGGCCTTGTTTCAAATCTAACTGAAGCTGTTTTTGTTTATATTGATAACTGTAGGGTTCAAGATATTGAACTTAATATAAATAGATATAGTTAATTTAAACTACATTTAGTATAATTGCCTTGATAAGAAAATGTTGACGTCACAATATTTTGTCTTCAACTTTTATTTTATAAATGGATACGAAAGTAACTGGTGTGTGTGTTTGTCATACACCTAAAGTAATGAATAGATTTTAATTAATGTTGGTTTATGTTAATGTAGGTGTGTAAAAATCGCGGGTTACTCACGTATATACACTGAGAATAGGTCTACTAGTTTCGAACCACAGAGGGGTACAGCTTACATCTGCCTACAGCCTACAGTAGGCTGCGCGACATCGCCGCGACCGCGCACGCTGCTCACGAGGAAGAACCCCTCTGTGGTTCGAAACTAGTAGACCTTTTCTCAGTATATTCACGTGAATAACCCGCGATTTTTAGTTAATTTTAGTTTAGGTATATATTATTATTAATGCTTACAGTAGATGTCTTGTTGTCTTGTTTTGTAACCAAGTCCTATGTACTTGGAAGCGAGCCTGATCAAAATATTAAGTAGATAATTTTCTGATTTTCAGATTCCTAGTCCTAGTAAGCGCTGGAGTGTACAAGCGTATTCAAGAAGCTAAAGGCAGCTACGAACAAACCAACAAGCAGTTAGCACAGATAATAGTAGAGAACTTCAGAAAACATGACTTTAGGATGGTCAGCCAATCAGTGCTTGAGGAAATTGAGCAAGAATTCGTGTCTTACTGCGTTAAGAACAGTCTTACGCCTAAACCAAACACACACATGTCATTATTGATAAGAAATTTCAATTTTTTGCCCACAAATGAAGATGAAATCCCACCAACTCACAGTGTAACGAAAAACGCATCAGTCCGATTCAATCCGATTGTTCAATCAAAATCGAACACGTTACTCAACGAAATCGATTCTGAAATTTACTCATCTGGCACAAACGAGATTGAGACGACGAACGATTCTAATATCGATACTAATCGGTCTATAGAATCGACTTCAGATATCTATCCTGTGGGCAGGCCGTTTGATAGGGATCGGAAAATCAAGGGTTATGTTGACTTTTCTTGTTATTTTGAAAATGTGGCTAAGGCTAGGAAGAATGGGACATTGCCTGATTTTATTAAATGATTACTTTTTTGACGTTGAAGAGTCATTCTTGTCATTATGTTTTAAAGTATTGTGATACTATTATGTGTATTCTTTCTTACACATGCCTTGTACCAGATTTCGTGCTTATAAAACTTTTAATTTTAAAGTTACAGTCTATACCTATTTAACAAACAAACAAGTTCACATACACATGACACCCAGACCAGAAACAACAATCTGTGGATCTCACAAAGAGTTGTTCCGTGCGGGAATTGAACCCGCGACACGTTGCACGGCAGCCGGTTAACGAGCCACCGCACTAACCTCGCATTAACAAATCTTCGTATGTACTTAAATGATTTGTTTATAAAATTATGCAATTTTCTTACTTGCCTTCGATATGAAATAAGTGTTAAAATATCTTGTATATTGTATTATAAATATTAGTATCTAAGTATTACATAGGACTCATAATATAAATAATGAAAAGTGGGTGTTACATTGTGCAGTGGCATAGAGTGCCGTAATGTACACCTCTGCCTACCCCTTCGGGGATAAAAAGGCGTGATGTTATGTATCTAAGTATTATGATTATGACAATATGAGATTTTTGTTAGTTTTATGAAAATAAATATAATGTTATTGTAAATCTGTATTTTGTCTTAATTGTTTGCCTTTTTTTTAAGGGGAGAAAATCATCGAATGACTCCCGCCTGGGTGAGGCGGGAGGGAGTGTCAGACTCTTACTGACTAAAAACCACCTCGTTCCTTCTCCTGCACGTCGAGCCGGAGCCCCGGTTACCGGCTAACCCGGCACACGACGCAAGCGGTGTCCTGCTCGTTGCTGGTATCGCTTCGGTTTAGTCGGCCATGTATTGAAGCATACCACTTACCACTTAGGTACTAGTTAAATAGTGAAAAGTGAGTGTTACATTGCACAGTGCCGTAATGTACACCTTTGCCTACTCCTTCAGGGCTATAAGGCGTGATGTTATATTATGTTACGTTGGTAGATTGGTCTAGGGTCTAGAGATTTCACATTATAAATTTTGTCCAAAAAGATGCAAGTGTTATAGATGAAATTGTCCATTTTTTTCACTTGCAAATTTCAAATTGGTAGGTTCAACTCACTATTAGGTAGGTACGTATTTTCAACTCTTGAGCATTTATCTACAACAGGTTAACTAAATCTAGTCAAAAATGCAGTCAATGCGATGTGCTGTGCACCTTATGCCAACCATATAATGTTCGTAAAGCGTTGAATAATTATTATGTTTTCGTCTTACTCACGTAATTATTTGACGAGGAAATCGAATAGTTTGAGGCCATGCTAGAGGCTCATATTCATGAGCAACATTCCGCGGCCCGCGACGCGGCGACTGTCGCTGGTACTGACTGCTGTCGCTGGTACTGACTGCTGTCGCTGGTACTGACTGCTGTCGCTGGTACTGACTGCTGTCGCTGGTACTGACTGCTGTCGCTGGTACTGACTGCTGTCGCTGGTACTGACTGCTGTCGCTGGTACTGACTGCTGTCGCTGGTACTGACTGCTGTCGCTGGTACTGACTGCTGTCGCTGGTACTGACTGCTGTCGCTGGTACTGACTGCTGTCGCTGGTACTGACTGCTGTCGCTGGTACTGACTGCTGTCGCTGCTATTGGCGGCGGCGAGCGACACTGCTGGTACGCTAGATTCGCTGCGTTAGTGTTGGGTTCGAATCCCGGGTCGACGCAATAACAGTGTTACATGCCGCGCTCATTATGTCACACTGCAGACTCACAACATTGTAGTCTGGCGCAATTTCGCGGCTTACGCACAACAAATAATTACGTAAGCCGAAAAACAACAATTAATATAGTACTTATGTCTCATGTAAGTTATTACATAAATGTTGAATAATTCATGATTTCAATTAATTGAACCCAAGAGGACACCAGTGTCTTCCCCCACCCACCTTTATTATAAACCAGACTAATAATTAATTCCTATGGAATAGTTTCTAAACTATTGTTGATAGGCTGGGTTCGAAACCTACCAACGGCAAATACCAATGTGACTTTTTCCGAGCTGTATGTACTTTCTATGATTATTTAGACACCACTGACAAACGGTGAAGGAAAACATCGTGATGAAACCTTCCTTGGCTTATAATTTCTAATTATAAGCCCCCTTGCGCACTAGCGGTCAACCGGTTGACCGCTTTTCCAATTTAATATGCAACCGCTATGGCAACCCCGTCTGTCGATACGACCCGCCTAAGCGGTCAACCGCTAGTGCGTAAGGGGCTTTAGTCTGAAATTGCCAACCCGCATTGAGCAAGCGTGGTGATTAATGCTCAAACCTCCGTGTGAGAAGAGGCTTTGCTCTTATAGGCTAATGTGTGATGTGTAGGTTCAAAACCGAGGCTAAGTATAAATAAAAGGCCAAATACAAAGGCAATATAACTATATTAGTAAGTAAAACGGAGATACACAATTACAATAATGGGTATAAATATTTAGACAGGCTTGTAGTCAAGTTTGCTCTCCAGCTTCTTGTTGTCGGCCACCTTGCGGACAGCCTTCATTAGGTCCTCCTGTGAATACAAATAATTATTTCAGTATAGTATTATTAACATAACATCACGGCTTTTATTCCCGAAGAGGTGCAGAGACATTATGCCACCGTACAATGTAACACCCACTTTTCACTATTTATGTTATGAGTCCCATGTAATAGGGGGTGAGCCTGTTGCTATATATCGGACACAATTCCAGACTCCGTGCTACTACTGAGATTTTTTTTGAAACCCAATAATACTTTGCCTGACCCGGGAATCGAACCCGAGACCCCTTGTCCGGCAGTCGCACTTGCGACCACTCGGCCAACGAGGCAGACTATAGTATTATTATACCCCGTGAAATCTATTTCGTTTCCGTCTTGCGGCAAAACAACTTGCCATAAGGAGTACTTTTGACGTATAAAGTATAAATGAAAAAAAAAGAAAAAAATAAAAATGTATTTTTAAGTTCTTAACACGTTAAACGCCATGGCAGTCACCGGTGACCGACATTAGCGGAGGATTTGCCTTCAACAGTTTTTTATTGGCAGTCAATGCCTTAAAGGTTTCTTTAATATAAAACTAGCCACCAGCCCCAGCTTCGCCTGGGTGCTATTTCCCGACGACGATGAATGTACGTTTCATAAGTCCAAATACTCAAACTGCCACTCTGCGCTTAAATATGGTTCTGTCTCTACAAATTCTTAGTAAAATGACAGAGATGGCACGATATTAAAGTACAATTTAAAATTGAGTAACCTTTCAGTATTCGGGCGATAATTTGTCTTTTATACAAACTTTGTTCGAACAATAACGAACACGACAAAAGTAATACGATGCAGTCACTGGACGGTAATGAGCGGACATATGTACATATAGCGATCTATTTTTATTAATATAGATAATTAAATATTTACCTGAATAATATACTCTCTCTCGGCACGTATAGCGAACAGTCCGGCTTCCGTGCAGACGTTCCTAAGATCAGCCCCGTTGAATGTATCCGACAGTTTGACCACCGCCTCGTAGTCCATCTCGCCGTGCTTAGCTATGGGCGCCGCGTGGATTTTTAGGATTTCTAATCTGTATTTAAAAGAACATAGGAATCAAAATAAAATCAATTATTATGTTTTTCGGCTTACTCACGTATAAATATTTATATTTGACGAGGAACTCCACTAGACTAATGTCGGAATACTGAAACGCTACTCAATTTTAAGTCGTGCTTAAGTATAGTTCTATCTCTACAAATTCTTTGTAAAATGACAGAGATGACACGATATTTGAGCACGACTTAAAATTAAGTATCGTTTCAATATTCCAGCATAAGCCATGCTAGAGGCTCACATTCATAAACAGCACTCCGCGCCTCGCGCCGCGGTACTGTCGCTGTACTGACTCTTACATAATTTACGTCAGTAAGCCGAAAAAAATATTATAATTAATCAAAAGAAAAGTTTTTATAAGTTAAGAAATGGAGTAATGACAAGATTTTGTTATGTCTAATTTTCTATAGTCATGGTAAACGCAAAGATAAAAATAAACTCTGTATTGGACAAATCGTAAACCGACGAAATTTTACTCAATCCAGAAATCGAACCAAAATCCTTTTTTATTAAACACAAAGTAGCAAAATTATACGAACTCCGAAACTCAAAAATTACCAGACTAACAAAAATTTTTTTATTATTCATATTAGCTTCTGCCAGCGGCTGCGCCAGCGCCGTGGTGTAAAAACTAACCTATGTGTCATTCCAAACTGTAAATCTACCCCGTTCCAAATTTGACCTCAGTACCTTCAGTCGTTTCGACATGAAGGAGTAACAGTAAACAAACATACAAAATTTCGCATTTGTAATATTAGTAGAATTTCTTATTACCTAGCCTGCTCATTAGGCAATGGAATCTCAATCTTCCTGTCCAGTCTACCAGGTCTGAGGAGAGCAGGGTCCAGGGTATCAGGTCGGTTAGTGGCCATGATGATCTTCACTTGTCCCAGGGAATCGAACCCGTCCATCTGGTTCAGCAACTCCATCAATGTACGCTGAATCTCACGGTCAGCACTTGTACCTTCGGAGAAACGACGTCCACCTGGAAGGGAGACAATGGTTTTGTTTGTATTATACAGTATTATGGCGTTAATTCTAAAGGGTGTGTTCTAGAGGTGTATTGTGAATTTCTTCATAACTTTTCATTGTTAAGTAGGTGTAAAATAAAATAATAATGAAATAATTTAGCAAAAACTAAATACACTTGAAAAGTAATGTTATTCTAAGAGGTTTGAATACATAACATTTTTATACGTCATCCAGGAGATTGAGTCTCTACCACAAACACAATTCGTGCCGATTTTTCAATTATCAATTAATTTTTAACTGTTGAATAAAATTGGCATTTGACATTTTTAGTATGGAAAATTTGTCAAATGTTCAAAATTATTCATCATCATCATCATCAACAGCCGGAAGACGTCCACTGCTGGACAAAGGCCTCCCCCTTAGTCCTCCACGTCGAACGACAACTCGCCACCCGTATCCACTGGCTCCCCGCTACTCTGGCGATGTCGTCGGTCCACCTAGCGGGAGGCCTGCCCACGCTTCGTCTTCCGGTCCGTGGTCTCTACTCAAGGACTTTCCTGGCCCATCTGCCGTCAGTCCTTCGAGCGACGTGGCCTGCCCATTGTCACTTTAGTCTGCAGATTTTGCGAGCTATGTCGGTAACTCTTGTTCTTCGGCGAATTTCCATATTTCGGATTTTGTCGCGCAAAGAAACCCCGAGCATAGCTCTCTCCATCGCACGCTGAGCGACTTTGAGCTTCTCCAGAAGGCCAGAGGTCAGGGACCACGTCTCGGTACCATACGTCATCATTCAAATTATTCGTCAGTTAAAATTCATCTGGCGATGGAAAAATCGACCCTTAACCAATAAAACGATCAAGTAACTGCAATACCATTGAATACCCCAATGATTCTTTGTCTTCTTTATACTATTAATTTGGGCTTTTTGGGCTCCCTCCCATGACAGCTAATAAGCCAAAACTTGAAACAATGTAAAATGTCCATACCAATAGCATCGATCTCGTCCATGAATATAATACAGGGCTGGTGGTCGCGCGCGTAGTTGAACATCTCTCGGATGAGCCGCGCCGACTCGCCGATGTACTTGTCGACTATGGCCGACGATACCACCTGCCGAGTTAATGTGGATGGTGAAATATTTATTTTAAAAAAAATCTCAGTAGTAGCACGGAGTCTAGAATTGTGCCCGGTATATAGCAATAGGCTCACCCCCTATTACATGGGACTCATAACATAAATAGTGAAAAGTGGGTGTTACATTGTACAGCAGCATAATGTGCACCTCTGCCTACCCCTTTGGGGATAAAAGGCGTGATGTTATGTTATGTGAAATATTGATGTAGAGGTGGCAGGAGCATTTATTTGCTGGAGAGAACAAGATACGCAATCAGCGACGCAAACTCCACTTTATGGCGACCCGTTGTTAGTAAGTAAAGAAGAAAATTTCTTTCTGTTGTATACAATTTGTGAGTCTTATAAAAAGCTGGGTAATAATTGATTGGTTCTCTAGAGCCGGCTAACCAGTGGTGCGCCGAACGCACTAGATACTTTTTATAATATCTTGAGACATACTAAATGAACTAAAATCGCGGGTTACTCACGTGAATATACTGAGAAAAGGTCTACTAGTTTCGAACCACAGAGGGGTTCTTCCTCACGAGCAGCGTGCGCGGTCGCGGCGACGTCGCGCAGCTCACTGAACCCTTCTGAGGTTCGAAACTAGTAGAGCTCTCCTCAAGTAATCTTAAAAACTCTGATAGTCTTAGATAGTATTAGATAGATATAGATAATCAGTAAGACTATCAGAATTTTTAAGATTATAAATATGTACCTTCAAGAAGTTAGCGTCAAGCTGTGAGGCCACAGCCCGGGCGAGCAGGGTCTTCCCGGTGCCGGGCGGCCCGTACAGCAGGCAGCCCTTGGGCGGAGTGATGCCCACGCGGACAAACAGCTCGGGGTTCATCAGTGGCAACTCAATCACCTGGAATTCATTATGAATATTATATTAATTTCATCATGTTAAAGTGGTAAGGTACACATCTTACCTCTTCGTGGTGGCTTGGAGGTTAAGACAACCGCTTCTCATATAGGTATGAGGGTGCGAAACTTACCAACGGCAAGTACCAATGTGTACCTAAGATTATCCAGACACCACTGACAAACGGTGAAGGAAAACATTGTGAGGAAACCTGGGCTTATAATTTCTCATTAGCATGAACAATGGTGATTGATGCTCAAATTTTCTCTGTATGACAAAAGGCTTTGCTCAGCAGTGGGCACTTATAGGCTGTTGATGAAAACCAAAATACCTCATCCATTGTGTACATTAACTAACCTCTCTTAGCTGTCGAATCTGTTCCTGCAGACCTCCAATAGCGGAGTATGTGACATCACCAGGGTCTTCGTGGCTCATGTTGTATACTAGAGGATCGACCTGGAAATAAAAACAACAACAAATTACAATTGGCCCCTGCCAATTTGTCAATTCAATACTTTTTTCGAACGGTCAAAAACAAAAGTTTTCTATGAATTTTGTACAAGATTGTGTCTTGTGATGTCACATTTTTCTAGGGTCAACCAGCATACTTATTTCTTAAAAATTTGCTGAAAAAATACCAAAATTAAAGTTGATCATAAAATCAACTATAGTGTGATTATTTTTTAATATTATATTGTATTGAACAGTCAAAATAATTTATTTTTCACTAAGGCCTATTAAGTACAGTATACACAGTTCAATAATGTTGGTTCAATTGATACAAATAAAAAAAAGGTGAACAATTTTTCAAACATTTTTAAGCTGGCACTGTACCATAGAAGGGTTAAAAAAGGTATGAACTATGAATAGATTGAAAAAAGATATCTTCTAGCTCCCTGGAAAGCATAAATTACAAACTTTTTTTTATGTGGGGGGAAAATCATCCAATGGCTTCTCCCACTTTGGGTAAGGCGAGAGGGAGTATTGGATTCTTACTGACTAAAAACCACCCTGTTCCTACTTCTGCTCTTCGAGCCGCGGCCCCAGGAAATTGTTAGGATACATATTAGGCATCAGCCCTACTGGGGCCCATCTGTAGTGGTCTGATGGCTCTTAGATGCGTATGTACAGGTCTGGTTCTGGTCGGTTCGACAAGCTGTCTGCAGACCCATACAATTTTAAGTTATCTTAGCTCCCAATTTTATATTACTGTTGTGGTGTAATTAAATCAACACTAAATAAATTAATTAAAAAGTTATTTACCTCTCTGGGTAAATGCCTCATGATGGTAAGTGTGGTCATATCCAGGGCGACCCTGGTGCCTCCCTTCAGCTTCTGCTTGTCCAGCTGTCTGCGGCACCCAACCACATAACGAGGACCATTTGTTGCTTTCACAATGACTGAAAAATACAGTGAATAGTATTATTAGTTAACCCATAAATCTCCAAGCGATCACCGGTGATTGCTTTCCATTAATATTACATTACATTATAGACCTTATTTCTAATGTTTAGAGACTACTTTTGTATGACCAAATTTAGGGGATGGATTTCAACGGGTTAAAAGGATTTCATATTTTAATTGATATGCAATCTAAGAAGTGCTAATGTACCATTTTACGAAATTTCTTATAAGTATCAGATTATTATATTAGGAACAATACATTTACAACTAAACTGAATAGGTAGAGTTCCGTTTTTATCAATTAAAAGCAACTTTTGGCTGCCTCAAATTTAAATAAAGTGTATATAAAGTTGAGATGACAAATAACAATAACATGCACAGACATTAGCACATCACAATACCCCAAATCCACAATTTACATTTCCAACCTTATAATTTGGCAAGAAAGTTGAAAATCGATTACTGAATTTATGACTATTAGGGTATTCTGATGTGCCAGCTATTACAACAATGGTATACTTACATTTCTCTTCAGTAAGCTGCTTCAGCACTTCTCCAACAATCTGACCGACACTCTGCAGAGCTTTCAGGTCATTCTCACTCTTGTCATACTGTTTGGTAATGTCTTTTAGTTTATCTCTCACTGAAACAAGATAAATACATGTTCATTAGGTTTAAAATAGGTCGTAAGTACAGGAATTGTGAGAGTACTAGCATCAGGAACATTTTAACAAAGAAATCCTATGTACATTGTGTGTTTCTGTTGATGATACGATAAAACAAGTTTTGGGAACGGGGTAAAAGGTTCTAATTGGTAAAACAGCCGTGAGGAATTCATAAAATATGACAAAACTCCCCTTTGTTTTTTTCTGACAATTTGTGGCCGCAGTGCTTAAAAATGATTAAATTGTACTATGGGAATGTTAAGAGGGAATCTAAGGCAATATACACATTCGTGTAAATGTATTTGAAGTTAGAAATTACACATTATTTTTGTTAAATTCGAGTTCTATGACCTGACAGGTGTAACCTCTTTTGATTCTTAGAGAACGCTATGAAATAACAAACAAATTATCATTCTAATACATTAAACACGATAAGTGCAGTGTCATTTGACTAGTGTTCAGTAAAAATAGGCAATCATGTATTTTCTAGGACAAAAGTTAGTGTAATGATTCGGCAGAAATCGATGACAAGCAACTCGAAAGTTACAATTACATACTTTCTTTCAGCCTAGATTCCACTTCTTTATGTTCCATCAGCTTCTTTCTGTAGTCCTGGAAGGCTTTTTCACGTAGCCCGTCCATTGTTGAGGGTCCGGCAGGCATTTTTAATAAATTTTATGTTTACGTGATAAATGCAAAAACGAAAATCACTACTATTTGACAGTTCTGTGCGTTGACATCACAGATTAAAAATCTGACGTTTGCTCTCTAAAGAACGAAACGCAGACCTCTGCTAGTTTGACGAATAGTAATAAAAAATTATAAATTAACAAATAAATTTATTTAAAATAAATACCCTTGCTACAATTGCAGAAAGAGATTAAAATAGAAATAAATTTGTAAAGTATTATAATAATACTTTACAAATTTATTTACAAATATATAAAATAAATAAAAAAATACAAATACTATAAAAAGTATTATAATAAGAAAATACCTAACCAATAAATATAACTTGAAGACAAGGTGTATAAATAAGTAAATAAATTGAATTGAAACTTTCAAATAAATAAAATGTTAATGATTACGCTATTATCTAGGTCTACTTTTTTATTAAGAAAAAGAAAGAAGTATCCAAGGGCGGACATCGGATACTACAGTAGTGCTGATTAGAAAAGTAAGATGACTTTTTCTTCTAGATTCAATTGCACTCAGCAAGTCATCGTATTTGGCTCACCTTGCTAGCTTGCGACTGTAGCAGTCAACGTGTATTTTTTATGGGATAAGCCGGGAAACGAGCAGACGGATCACCTGATGGTAAGCAATCGGCTCCAAAACATCAAAGGCGGTACAAGGGGGTCTACCGCATTTTTACTCATCAATTGGCGGTAGTTGTGAACCGCTCGTTCTTCGTCCAATAAGGAATTAGCTATGATTAGGAATTACCTGCTGTGGTTCAACAAAAATACCCCTCCTTATTTGCGCGATCTGATGAGCAAAAAAAAACGTTATACCCCAGTGCGTTATCGGCCTTTTTGGGATTAAGAATTTGAGGAATATTAGGGATTCGGGAATTGGGGAGATTGGGGAGGGGATAATTGGGCCTCCGGTAATCTTACCCACACGACGAAACAACGCTACATTTATTTCACGTCGGTTTTCTGTAAGGCCGTGGTATAACTCCGGTTAAGCCGGCCCATTCATGCTGAAGCATGGTTCTCCCATGTATATCTTATATACATTTTGTTCACCGTTACTGCCGTTACCGTGGTTCATTTATCAGTGTTGATAATTAATTTTATATAAATATACCAAATACCCCAGAAAACAAATCCACCACGTCAGTCATGGCGGTAAGCTCACAAGCCAACCCTATGTATGCTTACAATCTTTAAAAAACATAACTCAGGAAAAAGGAATATCAAAATAAATTACGTTCAAGGCACTTATCTTTTTTATTTAAAAAATATCGCAATATGATACATGCTCGCCGCGCGGCGTAATGGCGGTGGTTTCGCGCCAAAATATAATAAAATAAAGCTGCGCGCGTGTGTTATTTGCGCGGCACGTGAATTACGTGACCCAGGTCCCGCAGACATCACGTCTTTTAGGTATCTAGTTTATATCGCACGTGTTTATTTACTGTACCTAAGTGAAATGAGGTTAAATATCCTCCTAGACTTTGACTTTTTCTTGGATTTATCTGATAGGGCTGGGAATGGAGTGAGATACATAATCACTTTAATTTTTTTAGAGGCATTACTGTTTTTGTCTCACCTAGAGGTGAAGGTATATTATAGCCCTTCGAGAAACAAAGTAGGCTTGTTAATCTTTTGGGACTCAACACGTTTTGAACATTATTTTGTAGTTTTAAATTATTTCAAAATATTACATATGTAGGATACCTTAGATAAGTACCTACTTACTTGCTCAGTTCGACAAAAGCTACTGTAGGCTTCGCGAGATCGCCGCGACCGCGCACGCTGCTCAGAAGGAAGAACCCCTCTGTGGTTCGAAACTACTAGAGCTTCCCTCAGTATATTCACATAAGAGTAACCCGCAATTTTTAGTTAATTCAGTTAAATGACATCTGTTTTACACAACTAAATATTCTTTCTATCATTCAGGACTCTCAAGATTTTAAGTCGGTTCTCATAAACTACAAAGTATGAAAAATAAAACAAAAAAGTGCCTAGACAATTTATTATAGCTATAAGCTTCATAAAAGAAAAATTGCGCTTAAGATAATAACTACACGAATTCTTTTTATAAATGTTAATTATTACGATACAGAAACATACATTAAAATATTAATTATCTTATAAAAATAGTTGTAATACTACAAAATAAACGAAATAAAGTTCCTTTACAACTACCTCTATAAAGGCACAACTAAGTATTACTATCTGCTTCTACAAAATAAGACAATGTCCATTGTCCATAAATGTGAACGTTTGCTATTGAAATTGCAACAATATCTTAGATAAGATCCTGGGATGGGAAGGTAAGCATTTTATTTCAACACTAGCTTCCTACTTGCGACTTCACCCGCGTCAAATTGAGCAATGAGAATATTTCTCTCGAACGAGACGCAACTCCCGATTAAACACGCGCCATATCGGTCGTAGCCTTTAACATAGTGACGTCAGAGTAGAGTAGAGTATAGTAGAGTAGAGTTTAGTAGAGTAGAGTTTAGTAGAGTAAACTATAGTAGAGTAGAGTATAGTAGAGTAGAGTATGGTAGAGTAGAGTGTAGCAGAGTAGAGTAAAGTAGAGTAGAGTTTAGTAGAGTAGACTATAGTAGAGTAGATTAAAGTAGAGTAGAGTATAGTAGAGTACAGTAGAGTAGAGTAGAGAGACATTTAGCACTACCTCTGCTGTTCCCGAGGGTGTCCTAGAGGCCGATTAAGAGACCTACACATTCAGCAAAGACCGAAAACCTAGTACCCTCTGAAAAACCTAATACTTTTAACTTAAACTGCACAGCGATCTTCAACGATCAACGCGCCTGGAAAGCGTGGATAAAAGAAGAGATTATCAACACAGTTTCGTTCTTTCATAGTCAATTCACTATAAACCAAACCACAAACTAACAAACAAACAATCTAATCTTTCTTCTCTCGAATGGACATAAAATTTTAGTTCTCCTATCAAAATAGCTAATGTTACTCTGGAGGACAGAACGAGTCTTGGCTAGTTATGATCCTAGCTGTAGTAGAAGCTAATGTTTTGTGTGGTATTGTATCTAAAGTGCAATTCTGAGAAGAAAGTAATAGTTTTGGTCAGGTATATAGAAGGTGTTTTTAAGTAATATATAATTGTTATTGACTTCGTGACTTGCATCAACAGTTTTACTTTTTGACTGCCTCGTTGGCCGAGTGGTCACAAGTGCGATTGCCGGGTTTTAAAAATTCTCAGTAATAGCACGGAGTCTGGAATTGTGCCCGTTATATGGTAATAGGCTCAACCCCTATTACATGGGACTCGTAACATAAATAGTGAAAAGTGGGTGTTACATTGTACAATAGCATAATGTGCACCACTGCCTACCCCATCGGGGATAAAAGGCGTTATGCTATGTTTATGTGTATCAACAGTTTTATTTGCGTTGACTGCACAGTTGGTGCGCCGCAGTGGATGGACGACCGAATATTGTTTTCTCAAGGACCCGGCGGCAAACAAACAAACGGATTAAGGACCTGGATGGTAAGCGATTATGCTGGTAGGAACAAGGTCTTTTCTTACGGATTACAACTAAGTGCGATTTACATTTTACAACATGTTTTAGTCTGAGTGTGGAGTGCATGTGTGGGTATTGTGGGAAGTCGGTTTTTTTATGGAATAGGAGGCAAACGAGCAGACGGATCACCTGATGGTAAGCGATCAGCACCGCCCATGGACCCCCGCAACATCAGAAGAGTCACAGGTCATTTATAACCGAAACCAACAAGCTGAACCGGAAAACTTCGTAAAAACTTCAAAAAAGATTTTTCTTATCTTTGAAACCTTCCCTGGACTTCAACGAACATTTCAAGATCAATATTAGCCAAATCGGTTGAGCAGGTCTCGAGTTTTAGCGGGACTAAAGAACGGAAATTCATTTTTATTTATATTATTACTATACTTACTACATAGTATAAAACAAAGTCACTATCCGCCGTCTGTCTGTCCCTATGTATGCTTAGATCTTTAAAACTACGCAACTGATTTTGATGCAGTTTTTTAATAGATAGAATGATTCTTAAGGAAGGTTCATATTATGTATAATACATGCATATTGCACTCGTGCGAAACCGGGGCGGGTCGCTAGTAGATTAATAAGGTACTCGGCTAGTCATCTAAAATCTCAGTGGATATATCTTAGGTATTTATGAGTAGGTAAAAGATAACAATTTTATAGTCTGCAAGATTGGTGCAGTGGTTAGACGACCGGCTGCCGTGAAACGTGTTGCGCTTTCAACTCCTGCACGTTTCGGGTTTGAGTGTACGCACGAGAAAGTGCTAGTGTTTAGAAAAAAATATTAAATAAGAAATTTGACGGAACTTTAGATATAGACTATCTAAGTTTTAAAATGTAATGGAATATCACCTCATGTAATCTCCTACCAATACGGCAGCACTCTCGAAGATTATCACCAGTGTTACACTCTACTGGTACCTATCTACCGCTGAAGATATTGTTATTTTTCAAGCGACACATAAAATCGTGTTTCTCGTAAAATATGAGTGCTGCCGTAAAACTAAGAGTAGCGGTTATTAAGGTTTTAAATTTTCATCGCAAATTGATGTAATGTTATGTCTTGGCTTTATCACGCCTGTGTTCTGAAGTAGCAGGCAGAGATGTACACACGGCCACACGTCAATCTATACAAAACCAGTTTATCCTGGTGTTGCGTCGCATCATCTTTCTGCACATTTAACGTTCAGTTTATACTGGTTATGTATAGCTCGATGTGTAGGTACACACACCTAAGTAAATAAGTTACCAGCATTACTCTAACCGTGGTAGTCGCAAGAGCCGACTGACGTGTCGGCCAAAATCAAGAGCCGATTTCAAATCCGATTTTTGATTAAAATCAGCAATTATTTTTAGCCGTAAAGGTCTAAACGTTTGATGGAGGCCGGGCATTAGCTCTCTCTCATAAACCTGCAACCTACAACCCTTCTGCAAAGCTTGAAAATGGTGGCAGACTCTTCTATGTAGAGGTGCCTATAATCCAGGAGTATGGTTATAATGGT